CCCCCCCCAGTGCACAATTTTTTGTGCACCGGGCCTCTAGTATATATATAATTATATATACATATATTTTTAATATATATTTTTATTGATTTCAGAGAGGGAGAGGGAGAGATAGAAACATCATAATGAAAGAGAATCATGGATCGGCTGCCTCCTGCACACCCCCTATTGGGGATCAAGCCCGCAATCCGGGCATGTGCCATGACCAGGAATCGAACCATGACCTCCTGGCTCATAGATTGATGCTCAACCACTGAGCCAAGCCAGCCGGGCTTCCCCAAGTTTTACATTAAATATTTACCAAAAAACCGAGGTCTGAAAATTCTGGAATGTGACAGATCTGCTGTTTCCTTTGCGTGCCCATCCGCCTGCTGACCAGGAGCTGTGTGAACGCACACACAGAGGCTGCTGTTCTGGGACTGTCACTACTTCACACATCTCTCCGTCCTGGTCACTATTCACTGACTTCTTCCACTTCCTTTTCAGTCCCACCCGAGCAGACCCCCGTGGTCCAGGAGTGCTACCACGGCAACGGGCAGAGCTACCGCGGCACCTCCTCCACCACCATCACGGGGCGCAAATGCCAGTCCTGGTCGTCCATGACCCCGCACCGGCACTCGAAGACCCCAGACCAAATCCCCAACGCGTACGTCTTTGCTTTTTAACCGTCAGAGGAGCCGCGGCTCACCTGGGCTGGTTAGAAGGGACTGGTTTATGCTAACTTCTTAGACCCGAACTTCTCTCGGCTCCAGAATGCGGGTGAGGCACAGTATCTCCGGTGCCTTGTTTTTGAGCAAAAATTCCCCAAGAAGAGAAGTTGGAGGAGGGCTGTCTTTCCTGAGCAGTTTTGTAGAAGCCGGGGGGGTGGGACATATGGAGGGGTCACGGTCACACGAGTGGAAAGTTCAGGAAGACAAATGACCCGATGATTAGCAACGGAACCACCCACAACACCTGCTGCCACCAAGGCCGCCGTTCAGCTGTGGCATTGGGTCATAGCCCCTGACGTGACGTCTGTGTGGGCCCCTGGGTGGCGGTGTCTATAGCCTGACCTGTTCAGACCCATCGGGGCCCGAGTGTTACGGTCTGAGGGGACCTGAGGTGCCAGGACACAGAGAGGGAAAGCAGGAAGGCAGACGAGTCAGGGCGTAGACAGGTGCTGACCAAAGACCAGGGCTGAGCAGACAGCCTTTTTGCCAAAAATGGATAAGCCTTTGAACACCAACTGCTCAGCCACCTCTGGCTGGCTTCCTCCAATCGTGGGCCCCAGCCACGTGACTGAGGTATCTACAGGCATGGCCTCGGATTCCCACATTGCCTCATTGTTTCCGGCAGCCCCAGGTCATGGGTCTAGGCTGGAGAGGGGAGTCCACGGCTGAGAATCCCGCGAGGCTAGGGCAGTGTTCCGGGGAGGCCCTGGGGGACCGAACCACCAGCATCCCAGGTTCCTCACCTGCTGTTTCTTACCCAGCGTTTCCCGACTCCTCCCTAAGCCCTCAGCTCCCTCCGCTCCCTCAGCTCCCTGGTCTACCCGGATGTCTCTCTTCGCCCCTCTGTCCCACAGTTCTTCAGCCTCATCCTGTTCCCAGGCCCTGCGTGGCTGCAGCAAGGGAGGTGGGACAGGTGGGGGGAGTGAGGACAGTTCGGGTTCCTCCCGTCCCCCCAGAACGCACCCCATGGAAACGATGTCGGGCCTGGGAGCTAGTTTCCAGAAATCCCTCCAGCCCGGAACCGGCTCGATCCACCAGATGGAGTATTTGCAGTTACACTGTGCTCAGGGCTTCCCACTGGGAATGCGCAGCATTTAACCACAGCGTGAATGAACGGACTGGGAAGCTGCCGGGCGTGCCATCGTCTTCGCTGTCATTTCTTCCTCAGGGAGATACATTCAGTTCCAGCTTTCACTGCCCGATGTGGTCATATATAGAGACACAGACACAGATACAGAAGTATGTGTGTATGCATAGAAAAAAATCTAAAACACACACTTCAAAATCCATGTTGGTTATCTCTGGGAAACGTAGTTAACATTCCCAGGGGAAGGAGACATTCTGATACTTTCTTTACACATTTATATGCCATCTTAGCTTTTACATGGAGCATATATTAATTTGTATTTGTTAAATAAAAATTGTGATCTACTAGAGGCCTGGTGCATGCATTCATGCACCGGTGGGGTCCCTCGGCCTGGCCTGCGGGGAACGGGCTGAAACTGGCAGTCCAACATCCCCCAAGGGGTCCGGAGTGTGAGAGGGTGCAGGCCAGGCCGAGGGACCCCACTGGTACATGAATCTGTGCACCAGGCCTCTAGTGTGCATATAAGATCTTTGGTTAATCTCTTCCCGCCCTCCTGCTCTCCCCCCTTCCCTCTGAGATTCATCAGTCTGTTCCATGTTTCCATGCCTGTGCATTGAACGTCTGCCCCCTGGTGGTCAGTGCGCATCATAGCTACTGCCGGTTGGCCAGTTGCTTAGGCTTTTATATATATAGATTTAAAAGTTGTTTTGACATTGAGGACCTGTGCTTGTAGCACTGTAATAATTAACACCTTTGATATCTTTGATGGAAATATTGCAGTCACTTAAGACTTTGTTAAGGCTCTCTCTCTCGCTCGCTTTCCCCCTCCGCACCCCCCATTGTAAGCTCCCAGGGCCCTTCTTTGCCTCTGGAACTTGTTTCTGGAGCCCATTTCTTCTACCACTCACTTCGACCACTGTGACTTTCTAAGTAAACCTCCTCTTATTAAAAATAAGACTTTGACTCTAGCTGGTTTGGCTCAGTGAATAGAGCATTGGCCTGTGGACTAAAGGGTCCCAGGTTCGATTCTGGCCAAGGGCACATGCCCATGTTGCAGGCTCAATCCCCACCCCCCCACCCCCCAGTAGGGGGCATGCAGGAGGCAGCCAATCAATGATTCTCTCTCATCATTGATGTTTCTATCTCTCTCCCTTCCTCTCTGAAATCAATTTTTAAAAAAAGACTTTGTTAACACAACACTCAGAGGGTGCGGGGTGCCCCTGAGGACTCTCCCCCCCACTCACGCCCTCTCGTGTGGCATTCGCAGCGGCCTGACCATGAACTACTGCAGGAATCCCGACGGCGACAAGGGCCCTTGGTGCTACACCACCGACCCCAGCGTCCGCTGGGAGTTCTGCAACCTGAAGAAATGCTCAGAGACACAGGGGGCTGTCATGAACACCCCGCCCGAGGTCCCGCCTGTCAGTCCCCAGGGCTCTTCGGAAGCAGAAGCAGGTGAGACACGGTGGCCAGACTGTGCGCTTGGGCCCTGGGACGAAAGCCCGGGGAAGCGGATGGATGCAGAAGCTGGTTGCTGTGGGAACCTGAATACATGTGGAAGGAAGCCTCTCCTGTCACCGTGGGGGTGGGGCCGAGCTGCTGCTGCTGGTGGACAGGGGGTGAGCCCTGGGGACCAACTGGCTGTGGCCGAGGATGGCATAGTGAGCCGGGGGGTGGGAGGTTGGTAATGCTGGCATTAGCTGAAACAGGACATTCTATTTTTAAATTAAAAAAAATGTTTATTGATTTCAGAGAGGAAGGGCGAGGGAGAGAGAGAAACATCAATGATGGGAGAGAATCATTGATCAGCTGCCTCCTGCACGCCCCCTACTGGGGAATGAGCCTGCAACCCGGGCATGTGCCTTGACCAGGAATCGAACCGTGACCTCCTGGTTCATAGGTCAAGGCTCAACCACCGAGCAACCCCAGCCTGGCTGAAATAGAGCATTCTAGAAAAGCACGTCCCTCCTCCTCCATGGAGGAATAGGAAGGGTTAATTTGGCTCGGAACACACTGAATTGGGGAGCTAGGCAGGCGCATGAGGCTCCCAACAAACACTGCAGAAGTGGCTGTGCGGCCGCAGGGTCATCGGGCCACAACACGAGAAGGGGCTGTCCCCTGAGGTGGAGCCGAAAGTGGTCCCATCCTCCCTGCTCCCCGAGCACCTGGTCCTGTGGTTGCTGGGCAGCAGCGAGGCCTCTGGGCCTAGAGGGGTGGGGACACACAGGGGCTCCCTCTCCCCGCCCTGCATGAAAACCAGGGGTCGCACAGCTCATCTGGCCACTTTTGGGTCTTCAACACCTCCAGACGGTGGTGCTGAGAAGGACCAGGTTGGAAGTCGAGAGCCCCTCCTCCCTGAGGTGGGCTTGGCTCCCCCGCAATGTGGGGGCCTCGCCTGCTCCCCCCGGGACCGGTGAGCCACCTCTCCTTGCTCGGAGCCCCGCCTGGGGTCCCTCCTGGATAAACCTGAGGGGACCTCCCACGGTTCTCCCATGTGTCGGTGCCATATTTAATGCATGGGTGACCCACACGCCCTGGTCCTGGCAAATGTTGGGGTGCAGGCTGTCCAGCAAGGCCCCCTCCTCCCTGTTTGGATTTTCCAAGTGCACCGCCCCCCACCCCCACATGCGTCCCACATCCAATTCTCAGAGGGGTCCCGGGGAGCCCCCTCCCTAGGTTGGAGATGCAGGACAAGCCTGGGGAAGGCATCCCGTCACCCCGTTACCCTTTTCACCCCAGAGGGTGGGGACGCAAAGCACAGCTCCAGCCAAATAAGATTTTCTAGAAGAGCCTTTCCGTGTGCACCCCTTTATCTCCCCCCGCCCCGTGAGAGTGAGGTGCTCCAGAGCCGCCTAGCAGTTCACAACAGCATCTGCCCCGCAAATTCTCCCGGGCGCCGGCCGCCACTCAGCGGGGTCGAACCAATGAGCTCAGTGTCCTGGCCCAATTCCCACTCCAGCCCCTGCTCCACGCGCGGCTGTTTCCAAGCCCACGCGCACGTCGGGTAAAGTGTTAGTCGGGTAACGTGTTAGACGGGTAATGTGTTAGACGGGTAACGTGTTAGACTGGTAACGTGTTAGACGGGTAACGTGTTAGACAGTAACATGTTAGATGGGTAACGTGTTAGACCGGTAACGTGTTAGACAGGTAACGTGTTAGACGGGTAACATGTTAGACAGTAACATGTTAGACGGGTAACATGTTAGACTGGTAACATGTTAGATGGGTAACGTGTTAGACCGGTAATGTGTTAGACGGGTAACGTGTTAGACAGTAACATGTTAGATGGGTAACGTGTTAGACCGGTAATGTGTTAGACCGGTAATGTGTTAGACTGGTAATGTGTTAGATGGGTAACGTGTTAGACGGGTAATGTGTTAGATGGGTAACGTGTTAGACGGGTAACGTGTTAGACCGGTATCGTGTTAGACGGGTAACGTGTTAGACCGGTAACGTGTTAGACGGGTAACGTGTTAGACAGCGCCCACCACCCCAGCCTCCCGGGCTCTGCATGGTGCGCCCACAGGGCCCGACATTGGAGAACCTGCCGCCGCCGCGCTTGTGCCTCATCCCCGGTCCACGGAGCCTGACCTGCGCCCTCTCCCCGCAGACTGCATGCTGGGCAACGGGAAGGGGTACCGGGGCAAGAAGGCCACCACCGTGGCCGGCACCGCCTGCCAGGCCTGGGCCGCCCAGGAGCCCCACAGACACAGCATCTTCACGCCGGAGACGAACCCACGGGCCGGGCTGGAGAAAAACGTAAGCCGCTCTCGCGCCTTTCGCTGACCGACCTTTGCAAACAGAACCGGTTCTGTTGCGGCGAGGCAGCCTGGACTGATCTTCGGTGTGTGTGTGTGGGGGGGGGGGCATGCGGGGTTTCGGGGGCCGAGCCTGCAGCAGGAGCAGCACTGGTACCGTCAGCACAGGAGGCAGCCCGGCCACCCCTGCCGCAGGCCTCACTCCCGCTGCTCTTCCCATTTGGGTGGGCCATTGGGATAGTAGGATTTCCCAGTCTCTCACACTTTCTTTAAATTTTTTTTAAAACGATATATACATATATATATATTTAATTGATTTCAGAGAGGAAGGGAGAGGGAGAGAGAGAGAGAGAAATATCAATGTTGAGAGAGAATCATGGATCAGCTGCCTCCCGCACGCCCTGCACTGGGGATGGCGCCCACAACCCGGGCATGTGCCCCAACTGGGAATTGAACCATGACCTCCTGGTTCATAAATCGATGCTCAACCACTGAGCCGCGCCAGCCGGGCCGCTCACACTTTCCGGCTTACTTCGGGGCATGCATAGGAAGGACCAGGAGACACAGCCTCTCATGGCTTGACCACGGACGGTGCCCAGCCCAGGGCATCCGCATATCTGAGCCACCAGCAAGCAGGCTCCGTGGTGACCCAGGCACAGCATGAGTCAATCGTGCCCCGTGGTCCTATTGCGGCACCTCTACCGCCTCCGCCCACAGGAGTTCGCTTTTACAGTCCCCAGGTTAAGTCCCCTGAGAGGCTCTACCCTCCCTCCGGGGCGTGGCCTCAAGGCTGGAGCTCCTTTGGGACAAGGAGACATGACCAATGGGCTGGAATGAGTCAGAGCATCCTAAAGTTTACACCCCCCACCCCCCACAAAGGAGCGCTTACCTTCCCTCTTCTGAGGCAGCATGACTGCCCGTGCCCAGGCCCCCCTCTCCGCCCCGTGCACGCCGTCCCCCCACCCCTGAGCAGCGCCTCTCTTCCAGTACTGCCGGAACCCCGACGGCGACGTCAACGGGCCCTGGTGCTACACGACGGACCCCAAGAAGCTGTTCGACTACTGCGACGTCCCGCAGTGCGGTAAGCTGGCTTCATGTCTGAAGGGAACCGACTTCTCGGATACAGGCAGCCTCGCCTCCTTCATGCGGGTCTGACAGAGAAGGGCTTGCGAGCCGGGCTTTCCGCTGGGCTGCCCTCCCCCTCCACCCCCGCCCGCCTGCCCCCCGCCCAGCCTCCTCCCTGAGCCCTCTCTTCATCATTGAAGATGCCCACCTTAAACATAAGGTATTTACTTATATTCACTTACTTTAAATTACGTATTTGTTGGTTGAATGATTTTAATAATGCATTTCAATTCCACCACCACGTTCAGTTCAGATAAGAAATAAGTAAAAATAAAGAGAAACTTTCGATTCTGTTCTGAATGGAGAACGGGACAGCGGTGCTCTCTGTAGCTACCCTTTCTTAGCGCATCTGTGAGGCCTGCTCCGTCCGTTCGAGGCTCAGCAGCAGGAACTAAGCTCAGCGCCAGAGTAGCATGTCATAAATGTCATAATGTTGCGTGTTTCCTGTTTAAAAAGACGTTTCTATGTGGATGCGCAGCACAGGCCGCGACAAAGGGAAAGTTATTTGGGAAATTCAGGCTCCAGGTTCGAGAGAGGGTAGAGTCTCTGGTGGGGACGGAAAGAAACCCCCCGCAGTGTCGTTATGAACAATGACTTACGCTCACGTTGCTGAGGATCTGAAGGGCGCCAGGCAACAGGAGAGCATTTGTTGACCCTGAACTGTCCTGGGCACGAGCAGGTGCCACCAAGGATGGACACTGACCTTTCCTCCTGGACCCTGCGCCCGGCGGGGGGGAGCAGGCGGGAGGGAAGCAGTGTAGGTGGCGATGTGTTATCTCTGGGCCCTCGGTGAGTCTGGGAGGCTCCCGGGAGGGCGGTCCGGAGCCTGGCTGGGAGAGGTAATAGTTCAGGTCAGGGCAAATTAGCCTTGCTACTTACAATCACATACACACATCTCTATATATAAAAGCCCAGTATGCTAAGTGTCTGACCGATCGGTTGACCGTTTGGTCAACCGCTCGACCAGTCGCTATGACAGGCACTGACCACCACACAGACGCTCCGACTGGTAGGTGAGCTTGCTGCTGGGGTCCGGCTGATTGGGACTGGGTGAGATGGGCCGGACACGCCCTGGAACCCTCCCATGGTCCCTCCCTGGCCAGCCAACCTCCCACGGTCCCTCCCTGGTTGGCTGGCTCCTATTGGCTCCAATGGGGACTGGGCAAGACAGGCCAGACACGCCCTGGAGCCAACCTCCCACGGTCCCTCTCCGGCCTCTAAAATATTGTTTCTAATTAATTTCCTTTCAATGTGTACAAATTTGTGCACCAGGCCTCTAGTGTGTACATATGTGCACACAGAGACTCCCATTTAAAAATACCCTATTACCAAGTTTTATATATAGTCCTGATGTCAAATTTATACACAATTCACCATTCGTTTTTTTTATAACAGCTATTTCTCTTGAGTTAATGGTTGCACACAACATTATCTTTTCTTACTAGGATTATAGAAGTCTTCATATATGCACACGTTTGCTTTATTTATCAGTAAGTGTGCTTTTAGGTTAGTTTACTGAAAAAGATATGGATATGTGTTCTTACAGATTTTGATTGATTTGAATAATGTACTGAGCAAGATCATTATGGAAAGATTTGGTGTTCATTTAATAAATGTAGAGCTTAAAAAAAAGTACCCTATTGCCTTTCAAGCAGGGATGGCACTGTGGTTTTCAGAGAGCTGTCCATAGTTCGGTGGAGGTGGTGGCGGTGACAGTGATATGTGGCTAAAGTTATAGGTCAGATTAACAAGGTGTGTCGGTCAAGGTCGTCTAGGACAGTGGTTGGCAAACTGCGGCTCGGCGAACCATGGCTCACGAGCCACAGGCGGCTCTTTGGCCCCTTGAGTGTGGCTCTTCCACAAAATACCGACTTCTGCGCATGGGCCACGAAGTTTCAATCGCACTGTACATGTGTACCCACATGTGGTATTTTGTGGAAGAGCCACACTCAAGGGGCCAAAGAGCCGCATGTGGCTTGCGAGCTGTGGTTTGCCGATCACGGGTCTAGGAGAAGCCATCATTCTCATGCCTAACTACACCAATTTACTTCATCGCTTCCCCCCGATAATAGAAAGTGCTTACATCTTCTTGAATGGAGAAGGTTCTGTGTTGCCTTCTACTACTTTTCAAACTTAGAGAAAGATATTCCAAAACATGCTTATGGGATGTGTTTTATTGTTTGCTTGTTTATTTTACTTTTGAAATTCTTTAAGAGCTTTCTTTACTTTTCTCTTTTCTTTATTTTTTTTATATTGAGCTTATTGGGGTGACATTGGTTCACAAAACCATACAGGTTGCCAGTGTACAACTCAAAGCATCATCTGCCCACGCACTGTGCGCCCCTCGCCCCGAGCAAAGTCTCCTTCCGCCTCTGCCCACCTCCCCGCAGCCCTCCCCCACCCCCTTCCCTGGCCATCACCACCCTGCTGTCTGTGTCTACGTGTAATGTATATACTTGTTGATTTATCCCTTCACCGTCTTCCATCCAGTCCCCAAGCCCCTCCCCTCTGACAGCTGCCAGTCTGTTCCACGCGTCCAGGCCTCTTGCTAATAGTCTGGGCTTTGAGGTGTCAAACACTCAGTGCTTTGACGCCTCACGCGCCACTCACTCACCGTGAGCTGTGTGACAGCAGGGTCACCTCTCACTTCAGACGCGACTCTCTTTCCTGTCCCGCAGCGTCCTCGTCCTTTGACTGTGGAAAGCCCAAGGTGGAGCCGAAGAAGTGCCCCGGAAGGGTCGTAGGTGGGTGCGTGGCCAACCCACACTCCTGGCCGTGGCAGGTCAGCCTTCGAACAAGGTAACGGCACTTCTAGAAACGATGCGTCCATCCTTCTGTGTGAGCCCGCAAACCCGTCTACACCCGCGCTCAGCCCACAGCTCAGGCTCAGCGCCGGCCTCTGCATTCTCCTCAGGAGGAAGGGAAGCTAGGACATAAAGGATTTGCTTTTTCTAGGGTCTCTGCTTTGAAAATAGCCAGAACTGGGGTCTTTTCCTTGATCCGGGCAGCTACCATTAAGGTGTGTAGAGGCCACAATTCCCAAGAGCCAGTATTGCCGGGAAAGTATTGAAGATTCCTTGTAAGATGAAGAGCAAAACCTAACTATAGGGATGTGACAGCTGGCGGGGTACCAAGACCCAATTCCCTGTGGTCCATCCCAGATGCAGATTTCAGCGATTTCATTCCGAGGGGCTCGCCCGGCCGCGAACACACCTCCTTTCGCGTAGGGTAGCTCCCGCTCCCCACAAGCGAGCAGTGACCAGCTCTGACCCCACAGAACCCTGGGCAGTTTGGGTCATTTCAGTGGCCTCTGCCTTCAGTGAGCTCAGGCCGCCTGGTGACGGTGGAAAGTGCACAGGTGACACGGCTGCTTCCCCGTCTCCTTTCTGCGCCCGGGCCCCTGCGCTCCGGTGCTGGCAGCCTCCCCCACGAGCCTCCCGCCCCGGGCTCGCCAGGTGCCTCCGCTCAACGCGAGTCCATCTGTCTCCCGGTGTTGCGCGGCGTTTCTGTCCTTGGCCTCATCACTTAGTAACTGCGCTCGGCACAGCCTCCGCCTGTCACGCTTCACATCCGTCTTCCCACACTGCGCGGGGTCTCCTCCTGACATCAGCGGGCCCGCCATCGCCCGCACTGTGTGCTCCCTTCCTTCCGCGCTCTTTTCATGAGCTACCCGTGCCGGGAAGTCCTGGGATGTAAACGATTAGGAGCCATCTCCCCCTCGAGAGGGAATTCTCTCGGGCAAAATCAGCAAGTCCCGGAACCAGGCTACTCAGAGTCACCTCGGGCCGCCTGAGAAGGACTCGCCAGGTCTCGCATGGATCTTGCCAAAAGGAAAGGAAAGAAATGAAAGGGATGGTTTTGCCGGGTCCCTTCTGTTCAAGTCCAGGGCTGCCCAGTCAGAGCCAAGGGCTGGGGCTTCATGTTGGAGCCCCGTGGGTTTGCTCGTCTGGGGACAGCTGTCCCCGAGCCTCCCCAGCCACCGTAAAGAGTGCTGTGGATGGAACCTTCTGGAACTCAGCCCCTACCGTCCTGATGACGGGCCGGTGGCCTTTCCTTTGGGAACATCACACTAACAAAAGTAACTGAGCACTGCTTCCGGCTTCCTGTAGGACAGAGCATGAGATCTGAACTCAGCTCTCGGCCTGTCCCCCCAGATTCCGGATGCACTTCTGCGGAGGCACGCTGCTGTCCCCGGACTGGGTGCTGACCGCCGCCCACTGCCTGGAGAGGTAGGTGCGGGGATGGCTGGCGCGAGGACTCGGCTGGCAGACTTCCCGCCTGTGTCCTTCCCTGTCCCCTCCCGCCCTTCCTCCGATGGCCATGACACTGGGCACCGGGGAGTGGGTGTGGAGAGCCTGAGGCAGAGCTGTCAGGGCCATCGGATGGGAGAGGACGGGAGTGTTTCCAGGGGGAAACAAAGGAGAAAGACCAGCTCAGGGGGGTAGGCAGGAGAGAGCCGTGCGTGGCACGGGCACAGGTGCCCGAGTGACCACTGACACGGGGCCTGCCCTTGTGCTGACTCTAGTGTCGGTCCCATCTACCAGAAGCATCGCCGAGAACATTCCTTAACAGCGAGGCTCGGTCAATGGTGACCTTTCTTTTTTTTTAAAAAAAAATCTTTTTAAAATTGATTTCAGAGAGGAAGGGAGAGGGAGAGAGAGATAGAAACATTAATGATGAGAGAGAATCATTGATTGGCTGCCTCCTTTACGCCCCCGACTAGGGATTGAGCCTGCAATCGGGGTATGTGCCCTTGACTGGAATCAAACCTGAGACCCTTGAGTCCACAGGTCGACGCTCTATCCACTGAACCAAACCAGCCGGGGCCTTTCTTTTTTTATTTTTTACTAGTGGCCCAATGCACGAAATCCATGCAAGGGGCTCGGCCCTTGCAGCTCCGGCTTCGTCCAGAAGGTTGTCCAGAAGGTCGTTCGGCTGTCCAGTCTAATTAGCACATTACGCTTTTATTATTATAGATTATTTCTTTTGTTAATCCTCGCCTGTGGATGTTTTCCATTGATTTTTAGAGAGAGTGGAAGGGAGGGGGAGAGACACACAGAGAGAGAAACATTGATGTGAGAAAGACACATTAATTGGTTGCCTCCCGCACACACTCCGACCAGGGCTGGGGATCGAGCCTGTCACTGAGGTATGTGCCCTTGACCGGAATGGAACCCCCACAGGCTGATGCTCAGAGGAAACTGGGGAGCCAAGTGTCTGGGGGACATGCTGTCTGGCTCAGAAGGGCGCCCAGTGAAGGGGCTGCCCACCCTTCGCTGCTCACGGCACCGCTTTTTCCAGGTCCTCTCGGCCTTCGTCATACAAGGTCATCCTGGGAGCGCACCATGAGCAGAACCTGGAGGCGGACGTGCAGGAGAGGGACGTGTCCAAGCTGGTGCTGGAGCCCACGCGGGCTGACATAGCGCTGCTGAAGCTGAGCAGGTGCCCGCCCCACGCGCGTGTCCGGGAGGCGTGGACATTGCCGCTCCTGCCCGGGTTCCTGGCGAAACAGGGCGGGGAGGGGGAAGGGGGGAGGGGTGCACGGGGGCTGCTCCGTCCTGGCTATGGTCTTGGCAAAGGTGCCACGACTCAGTTTTCTCGCGTGAAAAAGAGTTGAAACACGAGGTGCATGGTGACCCCTAAACTCTCACTGGAGGGTCATGGTCAGCCAACAGACATCCAGAGAATTCCTCCAGCGTCTGGCTGACCGCCTCCTCTCAGCGTGGTGGTGTGTGTGGGGGACTCAGAGGAGACTGATATTCCAGAACATTAAGAACCCAGACAGGACCTCACACACCCCGCACAGATGGAAGGCCTCCTTCCGAGCGCCGGCTTCGCTTTTCCTGCGGAAACGGTGCAGGGACATCAGGCCTGGACACCGGCGGCTGCCTATGCCGCTGAGTGAGCAGGACTTGGAAGCAGGTCCCAGGGAGGCAGCTGAGGCAGCAGACGGCGCTTTTGAGAACAGACATGATAGGGACAGTCACCAAGGCCCCCACACGTCAGCGTGGGACGGGCTCCCGGGACAGGGGGACCCGCCAACAGTGAGGACAGGCCAGGCCGCACGAGGCCGGCGCCCGCGTCTGAATGCCCCCCTGCTGGTGTGGGCAGGAACACCTCTGGGTATTCGGGGCAGTGCCCTGAGGCCTGACCCTCGGGGGCGCGTGGACGCTCCAGAGAGGGAAGAAAGGGCTGCTGGCTTAGCCTGAACAGGAGCTCATCCCCTCCTTTCCCATGGTCCTTCGAGGGCCACCCGGAGGACCCCCTGGCTCAAATTTGGGGTTCTGGGAGTGTTCTCTGTAGATTGGAATGTTTGAGCTTCAGACTCATCCACTCCATGCCCTCCACCCCAGGTGTCTAAGGCAGTGGTTCTCAACCTTCCTAATGCCGCGGCCCTTTAATACAGTTCCTCATATTGTGGTGACCCCCAATTTCATTGTTACAAATTGAACATAATTAAAGCATAGTGATTAATCACAAAAACAATATGAAATTATATGTGTTTTCCGATGGTCTTAGACGACCCCTGTGAAAGGGTCGTTGGACCCCCAAAGGGGTCGCGACCCACAGGTTGAGAACCGCTGGTCTAAGGCATAGAAGGGAACCCCTAGAGTGACATCTGCAGGGTCACCCATATGAGAGGCTGGGTCTATGCTGGTGACCCCAAGAGGGAGTGTCTGCTTCCAAGTTGGCGGCCATGGTGATTCCTAATCAGATTCGGGCGTCTCTCATCTCCCTTCTGTTTTCCTCGTGAACAGAACGGAATCCAGCCTGGACGTGGGGGTTCTGGTGGTTAAGATGCCCTGGAGCCCTACGACCTGTGAAGGCTCTTGGGAAACAATGCCCTTTTGCTTATGCGAGTGTTTCCGGTCCTCCTTCACTTGGTGCCTAGTTATGGTTTCCCCACCATCATGGTGTGGAGACTCATAGAGGAAACAGAGAATTCAAAAGATGGGCAACTCGCTCACGGTCACATGATGCATTTGCTCTAATGGGCGCCGTGTGTTAGCACCTCAGCGGGACGTGCACCTGCTGCCGGGAGCCTGTGAAGTGGATATAGAAGCAGGTCCTTGGTCCAGGGTGCAGTGCCCAGAATGGGCATGAGAGGGGTCTTCGTCACCCCCACTCCCACCGCTGGGAACTCACCAATGAAGTGTCACTATGGATTCTTGTCCGTAACGGGTGCCTTTGTAACAAATGTTCTGTTTGTCTCACCCATAAGCTCCTATAGGCAAAGGTGAGGGTGGAAGCTGTTCTCCAGGCTGGCCTGTGCCAGGGCATCAAGGAGATGCCAGCTCGGAGGGTCTGGGCTTCGGGCAGGTGGCCTCTGGTTGTGGGTGACCACCGACGAGCAGCAGGAGTCTCAGGCAGGGCAGTCAAATGTCACATCTGTGCTTCCTTCCAGCCCTGCCATCATCACCGACAAGGTGATCCCGGCGTGCCTGCCATCCGCCGACTACGTGGTCGCTGACCGGACGGTCTGTTACATCACTGGCTGGGGAGAAACCCAAGGTGAGGTCAATTCCGTGACTCGCTTAATGAACTCCTTCCGGCCTACAGCCTTCGTGAGAAAAGGAGCATTTGCACAAACTCCTATCAGTCGGCGAGGTTCACCGCCTCCTGACTCAGTCTGGGCCCTGCCCACGTCTCCATTCTCAGCATCCAGGGCCACGGCCAGGGAGCCGGAGAGTTTCTCTGAGTCTCTGTCTTAGCCCATAAATTCAACGTTGATACTGCGTCCCAGGTAAGCAGGGCCTTGATACAAGCCTATGACTGCAGGGTGTGAGGGTATTTCTCATGTGAAGTTAGCCACGCTGAGTTCTCTAGCAGATGCAAAACAACTAAAATCACAGTTCAACTAGAGGCCCGGTACAGGAAAATTCATGCATTGGAGGGGGTGTCCCTCAGCTCGGCCTGCCCCCTCTCACAGTCCGGGAGCCCTCAGGGGTGGGAGGCGACCCGGCGATCAGGGGAAGGTGACACCCATCACACCTCTGCTGTTGCCACTGCTGGCAGTGCAAGCCTTGGCCGGCCCTGGTTACCTGAGCCTCGGGTGGCCCTGGGCGGCTGGGCAACCTCCATCCGAGGCTTGCCTGTGCCTCGGACGTCGGCTGGGCAGCTGATATCTGAGGTTTGTCTGTGCCTCAGGCTGGCCCTGGGTGGCTGGGGCCTGAGGGAGGATCTAGCTGCACGCCCTGGTGGGGCTGAAATGACTGGGGGACTCCGGCGGGGCTGAGGGGACTGGGCACCGCCATCTTTGTGATGGTGTGATGGTCAATTTGCATATTCCCTCTTTATTAGATAGGATTAGTCTCCCCAGATACCCCACATGTCTGGTGTATGTGTGGGGAGACAATGGGGGTGGAACAGACTGACAGCTGAACTGGGGGTGGGACAAGCTGACAGTTGCTTTAGGGGTGGGACAAACTGACAGTTGTTTAGGGGTGGAACAGATTGACAGTTGGGTGGGGGTGGGGCAGATTGACAGCTTGGGGAAAGTAAGAAAGGCTCCCGTTCTAGTAGGGACTTGCTATTGGCTTACGGGGTGAGGGTGAGAAAGGAAACATTTGTGCAGGTCCTGTCCTGGCCTAGGGGACGCTGTCCTCGCTCTGCAGTGCACCCCAGTAATAATGACACCCCTGACTCGGGCCTAGGAACATGTGAGAGCGTCCGAGGTCTCTGCCTCGCTTTCTCAGAAGTGGTGGTGAGTCAGGAGTCCTGGAAAATTGTCCTGGCTCTGCCCTCGCTGGCAAGCTGGACAGTCCCCTTACCTCTGATCCACTTGGTGTCTCACCCTCATCTGCAAGATGAGTTGCCAAGCAGTGCTGTCCATGTTAGCCTTTTGCATGAGCTTTCATTTGAAAAAAGGTTTTGTGGCTTTAAACAGGTTGAAAACGCCTGGTCCAGATCCTTTCAAACTTGCCTTCCTATTTCGGCACTTTCCCTGCTGTCTGAGACCTGCCTCCGGGGTGTCCCATGGCCCCCCATCTGCTTGCGGAGGCGGCGGACATTGAGGAGTAAAGGGAAACTTGCAAAGGAAGCACTACTATGGGTGTTCCACACTGGTTCACTCTTTGGTTTTAAAAAATTTAAAGGCCACAAATCCCTGTGCGTCCGGCATGTCCGTTCTGATTTTGCAAAGGAAGGATCCGAGGCTGAGAAGGCGCAGGGGTTGTGGGTGGTTGAGGAGGCAGACACACCCAAGGCAGGACCGCGACTCCCACTGGTCAGCTGCGGGACTCAGAAAAGCCACAGACTCTTTTTGGACTTGTTTCCTCGGCTGGAAAATGGGCTTCAGGGCGAGTGTGGGGGAAGCGATGAGAGGAGCGGATAAGGCACCGAGCAGCTGAGTCATGTTAATGACGGGAGTGCAGTGTTCCCATGTGACTCTCTAGCAATGGTGAAAATCCAGTGCAGACTGCATTAATCCGAAAAAGGGACTTCTTAGTGAGCCGCAAACCTGCTGGCTGATGAAAGCATGGACTCAAGGTCGTATAGATCCGGATGTGAGTTCTGTCCCATCTACCTCCACGCGACATCAGGAAGTTATTTAATCTCTCTGAGCCTCAGTTTCCTCATCTGTACCACCTTATAGAGTCACTGTGAGCATTAATATGCTGCATATGGAATTCCCAGTGATTTGGAGATGGTATTCCAGCAGCTCCTGTGCTTAGATAACCACCATCACCATCACCACCATTATCATCATCAAGCTCCAACCCTCCCCATCATCACCATAATCATCACATCATCACGCCCATAATCACCACCATCACCATCATCAACATCACTACCCTCACCCCCATAATCACCATCATCACCACCACAACCATCAACATCACTATCATCATCCTCATCATCACCATTATCATCAAGCTCCAATCCTCCCCATCATCACCACCATCACCACCACAACCATTTATACCATCACCATCATCACCATAATCATCACCATAATCATCACCATCATCACCACAACAATCATCACCATCACTATCATCACCCCCCATCATCACCATAATCATCACCATCATCACCCACCAACATCACCACCATCACCACCATGACCATCATCACCACCACCATCCCCACCATAACCATCATCACCACCACCATCACCACCATAACCATCATCAATATCACCATCATCACCATAACCATCATCAATATCACCATCATCACCATTATCATCAAGCTCCAACCCTCCCCATCATCACCATAATCATCACCACCATCACCACCATGACCATCATCACCACCACCTTCATTACCATCATCAAGCTCCAACCCTCCCCATCATCACCTTCATCAGCATAATCACCACCATCACAATAACCATCAAGGAACCTGTGTGTAGCTGAGCCCTGATGGAACCCAGCCTGCCTGACCCGCAGGCCCATTCGCTGTTCCTGTCCCCCCACCACCCACACTCTTCTGCACACCCTCCTGCCCTGGGCGCCGGTCTCTCGGGCCTCACTCACGTGTCTGCTGGGAAGTGACTCTCATAGACTCGCTGCACCAGGAGGAGTCACAAAACTTGAGCCAGGGTGTTGACCGTTTTCCTACACGTCAACAGTGACCTCCGATCAATCCATGTTGCCTCGGCCTCTTGGTGTGGGGTCAGAATTCTCCCCTCTCCCTGCAGCCCCCAGATGTTCCCTGGCTTCGCTGCTCCAAAGCAAGGTAGACCCGTGTTCAGGCCGAGGGGCCATTCCTGCCAGCCCCTCATCAGCAATCCCAGAGGCTCTCAGGGATCCTGCTTCCCCTCCTCCCGCCCCAGCAAGGCATCTGGTCCCAAGTCACTTCCAGCCCCAGAAATGCAATTCCCACAGTGGCCACCGGATGGCATCGCGTCCGCACAGACCACATCCCCCCCTTACACAGTGGGTGTGCCACCAGCACCCGCAGGTCTGTCCAGCTCAGAAAGCAGGTGCAGGAGCAGGACACTCGAGTGACCTGGTTCCACACCGTGACTCCTCCAACAGTGCTGCCCAGCGCTGCGGGCCAGGCCTTCCTCTCCGGCCCCGCAGGGCTGTCCTCCCTGCTGTCCACCCCAGACGAGCATGTGCTCGCTGACCCCGAGACAATTTTCCCAGTTACTCAAGGTCTTTGGAGACGAGAGCACCTCATCTCTTGGCCGCTCCGTGCTCGCAAAGCAAGGATTTTTGCAAAACTAGTGAAAACTGGGCTTGCAACATCGGAAATCTGGGGGATTTGTGAGGCGTACCGGGGCGTGTCCGTTTGGAAAAAAATGCTTTTTCTCTGGCGTGGTTGCCAGGGCTCTATTTCAATTTTCCAAAGTAAAAAAAAAAAAAGGCAGTTCTTCCCCAGAAAAGAATACAGTGAGTACAACAAGCATACAGGAGAACGTTTACTCTCCCTCATTGTAAAAGAAATGTACATTAGGAAATGAATTAGGATCATTTCCACCTATTATATCACCAAATCTTTTAAAAATGTTAAATACCCACGAGGGTGTGGGGGAGTGACCTTTTTCTAGTGACATTTTACACTGTCATGCCCTTTGAAAAATAATTTGGCGATGTTTTGGGAGCCATAAATATGTCTACAACATTCTTGGGAACTTGGACTTAAAAATATTAAGGAATATTAATAAACCGTATGAACAAACGTGTAGAACATGGAAGGAACATTGGCCAGCGAGCATGGTAGTCGAGAATTTGGGCAACAATGTCACAAAACCAGGTTCAAATCCCGGCTTCACTAGCTCCTCGCCGGGAAATCTGGGGCAAAATCCACTCTCGCTAAACCTCAGTTCCCTTCACGGCACAACGGGACTGACCAGCGTGCCCCTCCCGGGGGACTATGAGAGGGTTCAGGGGCATCCATCACAGCCCGAGCTTGGGCCTGGAAAGGTTAATTCTCGGTGAATGACAGCTACGCTTCTCTTTGGAAATGCTGTGGTAAAACACATGTAACAAAATCTACTGTCTTTACGATATCCGGCGCGATTCACTGGCATTTAGCACATTCACAGTGTTGTGCAACCGGCACCACCATTTCCAGAAAACTTTCCTCACCCCGAAGAGGAACTCCATACCCGTTAAGCAGTCACTTCCCATTAAAATAACAATTATGAAGATTGCAACATTGTAACCAAGTCCGTGTTATATAACGCGGGAAAAAATGAGGTATAAAACTGCGATATCAGTAGTAAAAGCAGCATATAAAAAAGCCCGAAAGGGAACAGACAAAAATAGCATCCGCTGTGATGTTTCTCAATCTCTCTTTACAAAATACAAAATCATTTCTTTATCGTGAAAAAGGGAGAGAGAAAAGAAACCAAAGACGACAAGGCAACCGCCCCCCCCCCCGCCAGCCCCCAAAACCCAGAAGCCGGAGCATGCAATCCAGGCCCGGGGACCAGGAACGCTTACATCCTGTTCACCCACCCAAGAGTCAAACAGACAAAGGAGCCAGGGGGTTAGGAGCTGACTCGTACCTACCATCGCCGCCCGGTGGTTCTGGAACTTTCCTTGTGAGCACGTGCGGGACGCAGTAACCGGTCTTCCATCTGAAACAGGCACCTTCGGCGCCGGCCTCCTCAAGGAGGCGCAGCTGCCCGTGATCGAGAACAAGGTGTGCAACCGCTACGAGTACCTGAACGGCAGGGTCAAGTCCACAGAGCTCTGCGCTGGGCTCTTGGCCGGGGGCGCCGACAGCTGCCAGGTAAGAGGACAGAGGTGGTCACTCCCTCGGTGGCCTGTTTTTGCCCCTTAGACCCTGTGGCCCCAAAGCTGCAACGTTGGGGAGGACCTGCCCCCCACAGGCCATGTGTGGAGTCTGAAGGTCGCCCAGCAGCCCTGCAGGCCTGGCCCCGATGCTGAGTCAGATCACCTAGGGCAGCGGTTCTCAACCTGTGGGTCGCGACCCCTTTGGGGGTCAAACGACCCTTTCAAAAGACCATCGGAAAACACAGGTATAATTACATATTGCTTTTGTGATTAATCACTATGCTTTAATTACGTTCCATTTGTAACAATGAAAATACATCCTGCATATCAGATATTTACATGACGATTCATAACAGTCGCAAAATTACAGTTATGAAGTAGCAATGAAAATAATTTTATGGTTGGGGGTCGCCACAACATGAGGAACTGTATTAAAGGGTCGCGGCATCAGGAAGGTTGAGAACCACTGACCTAGGGCGACCGACCGTGGGGACCTGAGCTCCAGCCGGGTGTAGGGAGTGTGAGGGACCGGCACTGCCCCAGCTCACACACCTTCCAGGATCCCATGGGCGGGACTTGGGGTGGCCGTCCAGGCAGGAGACCCGGAGAGGGACAGCGGCCCCGGCTTCTCCTCGGCGGCTCCTGGGGTGACTCTGCACAAGAGAACCCCGAGGCAGGAGGGAGGCAGGAGGGAGGCAGGAGGGAGGCAGGAGGGAGGCAGGAGGGAGGAGGACAGACATTTGCTCCCCTGCAGACGGCACCCGGTGGGGTCTGTTGAACAGACTCTGCCAGGCACAGCGATGCCCACACAGCACGTTAGGACCTGCCTCTCTGGCTGCCAAGGGGTGTTGAGATACTGAGAAAACTCCCACTTGGGAAAAGGAGGGTCACCCCCAAAATACAAGGCTGCCGGTGGGGCCTCACCGGGCTCCTCCCTCCCTCTGTGCAGGGCGACAGCGGGGGGCCGCTGGTCTGCTTCGAGAAGGACAAGTACATTTTACAAGGAGTGACTTCTTGGGGTCTCGGCTGTGCTCGCCCCAACAAGCCTGGCGTCTATGTCCGCGTCTCAAGGTTTGTCAAGTGGATCGAGGAGACCATGAAAAACAATTAGTGGCTGGGAGGCGCGGGACGCGTGGCGGACGCAGGCGCTGGGAC